CAAAAACACAACAGACTTAGCTTTCTTGGTGAGGATAACACCTGCATAGTAGGCTCAAGACTGAACACAACTGAAAGAAAGAGGCATGCTTAAATAGGCAAACACAAATTAGGTAATGACCCACAGGTGGGAGGAATCAAGTCCTAATGAGTAGTAATACAATTAATTCTACAGAAGCTAGTGGCTAGGAGAGTCATTACAAGCTGGAGCCTTACAATATCAGTATTATATTAGTTATTGTCTGTTATTAGATATTTTTTAAATGTTTTGTTCGAGATTAAATATTAAATTTTACATGCTCATTTTCCCATATTTTTACATTTAGTTTGTCATCATCTCAAATAATTGAATGTTAATTGTAATCTCTAGCAAATGTCAAAATAAAAATCAAATTTTTACTGTACATTTATAATGTTGTGATACCTAAATTAACTTATAGAATTTAAAATGACATTAGTTTTTACTATTTATTTTCTATTTATTTAGACAAATATTGATTTTATTATGATTATTATTATTATTACTGTATTATTATTATTCATATTACTATTATTGATAATAACATGGAAATTATTATCTTTAGAATTTTAGTATGCATTTTTGAAGAAAAATATTTTAATAGTAATATGGTGTATTTCTAATGCAATAGTAAATAAATAAATGATGTCTTAATGGAGAAAGTTTTATGTGAGGGTTTGGATTTGAGGTATGGGAATAGAAAATCATTAGCTCAAGTAAAAAATAGCTCAAGTATCATCATGATAGAAAATCACGTGTGTGTGTGTGTGTGTGTGTGTGTGTGTGTGCAGGTTTTTCTACACTGGCGGGACTTAAACCTGAATACACACCAACTCATGGGGACTTGTGTCACCATGGGGACCTAAATTGAGGTCCCCATGGGTACAAAAGCTTATAAATCATACAGAATGAGTTTTTTTAAGATTGTAAATATGCTGAAAGTTTTCTGTGAGGGTTAGGTGTAGGGTTGGTGTAGGGCGATAAAAAAATAATTATACTTTGTACAGTATAATAAAAGCCATTTTATGCGTTTTTGTGATTTATGAGGACACAAATTTGTATAATGACATGGGTATGACATAGGTATTACAAGGTGATTTATGAGGACATTTTGAGTGTCCCCATATTTCAAAAGGCTTATAAATCATCCAGAATTAGTTTTTTTGAAAATCTAAAAATGCAGAAAGTTTCCTGTAAGGGGTAGGTTTATGTGTAGGGCAATAGAAAGTACGGTTTGTACAGTATAAAAACCATTACGCCTATGGAGAGTCCCTACAAGGATAGTGCACCAGACATGTGCGTGCGTGCGTGCGTGCATGAATACACGCTTGTTGCTCATGTTTGTTGTTCCATTTTAGACTGATAGGATTTGTGACAAATTGTTATAATCCCAAGGGAGAGCTATTAACATATTAACATCTGTATCTTGTTTATTTGTCATGCTATAATTTCCCTCTAATCAAGTCTTAATAACGACAAGAGGATTGAGGAATTAGCTGTCTGATGGGCATTGTGCGAATCTTCTTGCTGATTACTGGAGTGAAACACTAGGCTGACTACCTCATTAACCATTCACCATGATGTCAGAGCATGACGATTTGCTCATCGGCTGTGTTTGAAGATGAAAGCTCCTCTCGTGCATTTTACCCACAGCTTTATATGAGGAGCCAATTGTCCGCATCCTCATTAAAGATTTGATTATTCTACTTTCAGCTTTCCATATGTGATCAATCTTTATACTGACCCCAGTGCTATCTTTGGGTCGTGAACCTCGCAATGCCTTTAAATTGCGCTCATTTGTGTAATGCATCTAATGAGCAGTCGGTGATTTTGGTTGCTGTCATTTCTGTCACAGACAGCTGAGGGCGCTCTAGGCGCCTTTCACTCGACATATTCGTTTTCGGTCGCTAAGTTATTTGATACCAGCCGTCTAAAAGTCATAAAGTGATATGACAACTACATCTCTTTATACAACCGTTACTACTGACAAAAATACAGCCAATTTGGTCCAAATATATGTCTTTCTACCCACAGCAGAGACACTATTGCAGCAACATGCAAGGAAGACTACAACTGTGACCCTAAGAAAACGGTGCAGTGATGATAAAACCATTGTACTGCGATATATACCATGATATTGAAATATGTTATCCATGGGCCATAGTACTTTGCGTGTTACCATTGTATTTTTTCTACTGGTGTGCCTTCATACAATTACATGCCTTTTCAACAAACAAGATTCTGACTTTTTAGGCATACACAGGTGTGGATCCTCTGTATTCAGAAGACAAACAACTTCAGTGCTTCAATATACTGTTTTAGAGGCTTTGAAGCTGCTGGGTGGAGCTGCATATGCTAGTTGCTATGAGGGATGTTATAATTTCCTCGTGGACCAGTAGAATAGGTCATGCGATTACAATATAAACTCAGTGCTTCATGTCAACGCCCTAAATGACAGCATGCTAACATCATAATGGCAGATACACAGTCATGTTTTTGGGGTAGCTTTGTGCGTAGACTGAGGTATGTTCAGTTGAAGCAAATATTCAGTAAGGTTTCCTTATATGAAACCAAAGTGTCAGGGACAGGTGGTCACTTGATGAAACATAATTAATGTTATTGTTGAAGCAGAAATAATAATAAACTGAAAATTAGATATTGGCAATTAACTGTAATAAGTTTAGGATGAAGTAGTAAAATTGGCCTACTAAACCTGAAATAAAACTAAAATGCCAAATACATTTTTTTATAAAATATAATTTTTATAAAATTCTTAAAACATTCAAATTAAATTAAAAAATATATATAAATATAAAATGCATTCAAAATGTACTTTATTTGAAATACAATACATATAGGTAGGCCTTCGTAATGACATAAGTACTGCCCACAAAAAATATCCAGTCAGAAATTACAGTGAGAATCTTATTGAAATGACTGTGCTTTCTATTGTAAATGTCAGGCTGTATATGCTTACTCCTTACATGTCAATCATTATGACGACAAGGGGGTTTTTAAGGTATGCATAAGCAGTTCTTTTCACCTGAACATGGTTTCCCACGGGCACAACAGAACAACAGCATCTGTGGCTTTTCAGGTTTCAAAAATAATACGAGATACAGACACACATATCTGTCAATGAACCATGTTTTCTTTTTTGCGGGACTACAAAGAGATGTACGGCATTGCTAAAAAGTTGTGTAAAGCAAGATAATGAAAGTCCAATATAGACTATAGTTATCTATTAAACTGCTGTATGCCACCTGCTGAGCCAGAAGCCGTGAAACTGCAGATGTGAGTAATACAGCTATCTACACATAGACTATCAAAGTGAATTTAAAACAAACATTAAACACAGGATAATACACCAACAGTCTTTCGTATTCTGTTCATTCATCATAGAGCAGGTAAAAACTTAACCAGTCACCAGAGATTTAATCAGGTCATTCAACAGCATGAATTTATTTCAGTGCTAGTATTTAAAAGCATTCAATGTACAGACATTTATACCTTCTGATATGACTAAACTGATTCTGACCATGTCAAATTATATCAGAAATAATCAAATATCAAACTGTGTATGAAATGGGTCTGCCTATATTATGTGTCAGTCATATATATTATTACTGTGTAGTATTACATTCCTATAAAGCCACATTTATAGGACTACACACATGCTATATATTGTTAAACTTCATAATTGCAGTATTCTAAAAATATTCATCAAGCGTTAATATGCTCCTTCACTTTTCCTTATACAATTGTAAGCTTATCACATGGCACCTCTTCATGCTCACTGGCTTCCTCTTGTTTACATGAAATCCAGTATAATTGTGTTTTTAAATGAATGGTAAAAGCAGCTTTTGCGCACATCAGGGCCATACTCAGGGCGGTTGACTACAAAACGCTGCCCAAGCAACTCTACAGGAAGTGATGAACTTTCACTTTAGCCAGGACATTTGTAGAGCCTTCATCCATAGTTCTTCATCATTAAAATCTCTGGAAAATAAAAAAAGGTTTAAATATGCTACATGCATAGAGATATATTGATATATATTATATAAATATATATTAGATACACATATTTATATATAGATACAGAGATACAGATATAGTGTAGGGTGTGGGCGGCATAAAGTAAAATGGGATGGACCGAAATTGCGACCAAGACATCTGAACAGAAACTGTTACTTTAACAGATCCGATAATATTTAATGTACGTGATATGATCCAGGTTTTAATGTAAACACTGTCTGATTATGATGTCCTGCTGGAGAACTCGCTTTTACATTGAATGAGACACTTACTGAGCAAAACCAGTAGGCTGACTTATAACCTCGAAAACAAAGGCACACAAAAAATCCACGCACAGGAAGAATGCACAAATACACAAACATTGTGCAGGATGTGTAATGCAAAAATGAACCAATACATTCATAAATGCATCTGTAGATTTGGCTAAATGTGAATTTTAGTTTTTAGGCAAGAATTTTCATTTCAATTCATCACTACAGAAACTATTTTGAAAGCCCCTATTCATATGCATAGAATTTATCCTAAAGACATGTAATGTAAATAAGTGCAATGCTGTTATAGATTACAGAAGTATAGATTCCGGTCAGCAGTATCTTTTTATGACTAACATGTTTGGGAAATATCTTTTTTTTTTCTTAGGGCTGTACCATTACTTTCAGACTGGGACTTTTTGATTCATACAGGACTGTGACAATAGGAAGAGAATTAGGATCTGTGGACCCCCAATTCTCATGCCGACCACACATTGCTGTTTTGTGAGGCAGTCATGTGACCATTAGATATCCATTACACCTGAACAATATCTCACTGTGCTTCCATCAGCTTGTCATGCATGTGCTGCTCTCTGTTACTTAGCACAGAGGAAGTAGTGTGTGTATAAAAACCATTACGCCTATGGGATGTCCCCACTTTTCACAAAAACAAACCTGTGTGTGTGTGTGTGTGTGTGAGACAGAGAGAGGTGGGGGAGAGAATTAAAAACAGAGGTAAGAGCGATGGAAAATGTCTGTATGTGTGATGGTATAAATATGTATGTGAGCCAAAAAAAAAGCATGTAGCTGAAGAGAAAGCAGTCTTAACATTATTAATTTGCCTAGTAATACAGAGGAGACCTTTAAATGCTATCAGTGAAGAGACTTATAATTGCCTAATCTGTTGACTGACAATTTTACTGGTTAACTGATTCAGCTAATTTACAGCCTGACTTTAGTCTGATTTACTGACAGTTCGTGACCATGGTTTGAAGACGATTGCAACAAACTTGACCTAGTTGGTTATTTTTTTATATAAAATGTAGGAAGTGTGAAATGACGTTTACTCCTTGTTTGAAGGGTTTTGTCTATTGTGGTGTAAATAACAAGCTCATGGCTTGTATGAAAAAAATTTAATTTTGAAAATGTACAAATCCTCAGGCCATTTATATCAGAACAGATTCAGAGAAATGTAACATTACATCAGTTGCTCACCAATGGATCCTCGGCAGTGAATGGGTGCCGTCAGAATGAGAGTTCAAACAGCTGCTAAAAACAACACAATAATCCACACGACTCCAGTCCCTCAATTAATGTCTTGTGAAGTGAAAAGCTGCATGTTTGTAATAAACAAATCCATCATTAGGATGTTTTTAAAATAGAAGTCCTCTGTCCATAAAATTGCATTCTCCAGTCATCTCATCTGAATCAGTCAATCATTTAACATCACAAGGTGTTAATCGATTAACTGGATTATTGTGATGCTTTTATCCGCTGTTCAGGCCTGAGGGTGAGTACATTTTTAGCAAATTTTCATGTTGTGGTGAACTATTCCTTTAAATTCCTTTAAAACAAATCTTACAGGAGATCGTCTCGGTTACGTATGGTAACCCTCGTTCCCTGAAGGTGGGTAGCTCTAGCCAGGCTCCCAGACACCGCGCAAGTGGCGTCAACGGAACTACAGGCGTACCCGCAGTGGGGCAGCGCGGAAGAACGCAGGGACCCGGCCCGGGCGTCTCTTTGCCGGTCCGAGGCGGGGTCTGGGTGTGTGTAACACTGACCTGCGTTCGAGCAGAGGGTGCGTGGGTAGTCCGTTGGTTCGTCCTCCCGATCCGCCCACTGCTGCTCACTGGCGAGAGAGGAGGGTGAGTGTGATACGGCTCTGGACCGTCCACAGCCCCCCGTCCCCTCAGGGGACCCAGAGATAGAAGAATTTGCTCTTTTGTCGAGTATTTGGGTACCACTGACCGAGAGGAAAAAAAAAGGCCCTCCTCCGGGGAAGGGAGTGGTGCGTTCACCATCTCCCGAAGAGCAACTGCCTCCATCTCTGGGTCGCCCGTCTCAGGGCTTCTTGCTCTTTCGCTTACCACCAGGTCTGGAGGGGGCCTGGACGGGGCGGGGCGGCTGCCCTGCAACCGGCTCC